ATTCCAGGATTCATTCTAGCAACTTTATCTGCTGATAAGCAATCACAGCCAGAGCCTGCTATACCTGGCTCGGGGAAGACTGAGTGAACCATTACCTCTGTGTACTTAAATATCTGTGTATATATACAGTATTACACTATGTACAATTTTATATTTTACAGATAACCAGAGACAAATTGTAAGGTCCTCCTTGATATAAATATATTACATTGTGTGGTGGTGGTTTTAATTGCACACCCTGTACTTTGTACTTGTTTTTGCACTTTATGTAGTGTTTTCTGAGTTATTATAGATTGCTGCATCTCTCACAATTCAATAAAGCCAATCCTCCTATATCCAATTGTTTTTAACTTTTATTGTTGATCTTTCAACCAACATTCAAGTAGGTGAGCACTTGGGAAATACTGATCACAATATAGTGTTCTTTGAAATAAACTCAAAAAAGCAAAAGCACATGGGGTATACTAAATATATAATTTTAAAAAGGCCAATTTCAATACGTTAAGGGCAGCTTTACAATGTATTGACTGGCATAAACTCTTGAGTGAAAAGAACACAAAGGATAAATTGAATATCTTCAAACAAATATTAGAAATGTACATTTCTCAGTATGTACCATTAGGTGATAAAAATAAAACATACAAATTAAAACCAATGTGGCTTAGTGGGAAAATGAATCAAGAATTTAAAAAAAGAAAGAAAAGGGCATTTAAGGCATTTAAATCGGACAAATTAGAGGCATCCTATAAAATATATAAGAAAGTCAATAATATGTGCAAAGAGGCTATTAGCAGTTCTCTGCACACAGACTCAAATGTTCAGTTTCATAGATATAAATGCTGGGTGCCAGAGAGGTAGTTACAAAACAATTAGTGTTAGAATGTAATAGTCTGCACTCACAGTCTCAGTTTAAAACGTAGCGTTTATTCCTTCGTGGTTAAAACGTGCACATGTTAAAGTGCATACAGTGAAACACAGGTCAACGTTTCAGTCCCAGTGTGGTACTTTCCTCAGGACAGCATGGATGCATACAGCATAAAACCTGTACATGAGGGGGGGGGGAGGACGAGAGGGGTTGTTTTACTTGTGAGACATCACTGAATACAAATGTGTATTATGATTGTCGCAATTAAAATTCCATGCAGAACTAAAAAAAATTTCTTAATTTCTCACATTTTTTTTTTTATATTTTATTCATATTAAATTATGTTTCATAGATAAATATTTGATGTTAAATGAAAGTCTTGTTTTTCCCGAATAAAATAATATATAATAAGTATGGGTACACTTAATATGAAACAGGTGAATTACAGTTGAACAGCCATATGGCACAAATTTCAGGTTTTATTTACATTTAGTTTTGATCACAACTTGTACAATTGGCTCAATCCTTAAGGGGTTAAAGAATCAGCAGCTGTATAGATTAAAAAAAGATATATATATATATATATATATATATATATATACACAGTGGAACCTCGGAACTCGCACGTTCCCGTTCTCGAACAATTCCCCACAAGTGTGGGGAAGCATGGGATGCACCTGTGAGATGAGAAAATATGGGCAGATGGACTATGCAAAGGGATAGAGGGGAATACAGGGTGAGAAAAACCAGAGGGCAGAGGGATACAAATAAAGGGTGAAGGGATATTGACAGAATTATTATGCAAGGAGAAAGAGGACAATATGAGAAGGATACTGTTATGGGCAAATGCAAATATTGTATTCCTAAAACTGTGTATTTTGTCTTTAAGAGATATTGCACACTGACAAGGTGTTAGAACTGGAACATATTGTTTTTCATACGTTTCTTTAAGCAATAACCTCTTATTTACCTCCAGTGCATAATATGTTTACGCCATTTTGTCCCAGACAAATTACAATAACAATAATGCATAAACAAGCTTCAAGTCTATGATCTAACTCTTTCAGTACATAATATACTGAGGTAACCCTAAATAGATAAAGATGTTCAGACTTTAAGATGCCATCTTGACCTAAGTCAGGGAAATATCCATGATGGGAACACCCTTTAGTTAGGGCCTTGTATTTTTGCCAAGTTAATGGAGGTCCTAAAATGAATAAAAGTAAAATAAGTTACTTTTTCAAATATGAACTACGTTGACCCTAAAATGAAGACACCTAAGGTATAAATAGATTTACTTTTAAATGTTAAAGGACCACTCTAGGCACCCAGACCACTTCAGCTTAATGAAGTGGTCTGGGTGCCAGGTCCTTCTAGGGTTAACCCATTTTTTTTATAAACATAGCAGTTTCAGAGAAACTGCTATGTTTATGAATGGGTTAAGCCTTTCCCCTAATCCTCTAGTGGCTGTCTCATTGACAGCCACTAGAGGCGCTTGCGTGCTTCTCACTGTGATTTTCACAGTGAGAGCACGCAAGCGTCCATAGGAAAGCATTGTAAATGCTTTCCTATGCGACGGGCTGAATGCGCGCGCAGCTCTTGCCGCGCGTGCGCATTCAGCCCAAGAAGAGGAACAGAGGAGGAGAGAAGGAGAGAAGGAGGAGAGCTCCCCGCCCAGCACTGGAAAAAGGTAAGTTTTTATCCCTTTCCCCCTTCCAGAGCCGGGCGGGAGGGGGTCCCTGAGGGTGGGGGCGCCCTCAGGGCACTATAGTGCCAGAAAACTAGTATGTTTTCCTGGCACTATAGTGGTCCTTTAAGACAGACAGAGGAGAGATTTGGAGAAGGACACTCCATTTCAAAATGACAGAGAGGCTGACCTGATGACATGTTCAGGAGGGTATGTTAATCTATTATTGATATTTGCAAGCATTTAGTTTAATCTTATAAACTCTGCTATAAATTATTGTAATGGATTTTATATGTCTATATATTTTTATATAATAAATATCTAAAAAGACATTTTATTGCTTCCAAGACAATCCTTATTTTATATTGTATTCTCAATTATTTATGTATTTTAAAAAGAGGATCTCTTACTAACTATATAAAATTATGGCTAAGATATCTGTATGGTTAGCCCTGCTAAGTTCTATGCTTTAAAGGGACACTATAGTCACCAGGACAACTACAGCTTATTGAATTTGTTCTGGTGAGTAGAATCATTATCTTCAGGCTTTTTACAGTAAACACTGTCTTTTCAGAGAAAATGCAGTGTTTACATTACAGCCTAGTGATAACTTCACTGGCCACTCCTCAGATGGCTGTTAGAGATCCTTCCTGAGTCATGGCTGCCTAAAATGCATCCAAACATTCAGTATCTCGTCCCTCTGCATGCAGACACTGAACTTTCCTCATAGGGATTAATTGATTCAATTCATCTCTATGAGGAGATGCTGATTGACCAGGGCTGTGTTTGAATCATGCTGGCTCTGTCCTTAATCTGCCTCTTTGTCAGTCTCAGCCAATCCTATGGGGAAGCATTGTGATTGGATCAGGCTACCCTTCTGATGATGTCAGCAGACTGCTTGTTTTTCTGAATCAAACAGCATGCAGAGTTACAGCTTCAGGCTTTAATATGGTAAGATTTTGCTATATTTATGGAGGCATGAGGGGCCCAGGGGGCTAGATGGTGGTTTTAACACTATCGGGTCAGGAATACATGTTTGTGTTCCTGACCCTATAGTGATCATTTAAGATATTATAGTGGTAAATAAGGGAACCCGCCGCTGTTACAATACCAGAGGGCAAAGAGACACGAATAAGGGAAGAGGGACTATGAACATAAAGATACAAGCAAAGGTATTCGATATTTTGAACCAGATACAGTCATTTTATATGCTTTTGTATGTAATGCAAGAACAGTTACCTATCTCCATCCATGTAATTTGGGGGGTCTGGAACGGATTAAACACATTTACATTAATTCCTATGGGAAATCGCAATTCGAACAGCCTTCTGGGTTGAGTTCCGAGATTCCACTGTATATCTGAAACTTACCACAGCCTTATCTAAAATAGCTAACACAGTTGAGGATTGACCATCTGCCTCATTATAAATACATAAATGGCATCATATTTTACTGGTTGTATGCATATTAAAAAAAATTCACTTTGTTACATAAAATACTGGTGCCTCAGCTGGCATAAATTAGAATTTAAAGGGACACTGTAGCAGAGCTCCAATATTCAGCATAAATATCTCTGCCGTAGACTCCTTGTAGCCGAGGAAGCAATACAATATCCAAGGCACAATCTCCCTAGTAGCTGGACGACACGTAGTTCTGGGAGTCAACTGGTTTTTATTCAGCCACAGCTGGCTTTTATGCAACTCCCCATCCAAGGGATTTCTTAAATTACATTCCAGGCGTTTTCCCACTGGTGGACCTTGTTGGGGACAGGGGACAAAGCAACATTTCCCACACTCCTCCTCTGTACCTGGGAGATAATTGAGTAAGAACAACTCTTTAATATTATCTCCCAGGTACAGAAAATATACAATATTGTAAAACCATATAACATAGTAATATCTCAGAACTCCATGAAAGTTAGTTCACCGAATAGCAGGGATCTGTGCGCCCACTTTTCCAAATATCACTCAGATCCGTTCGGTAGATTAGGAAAGCCATTCGACTGAAGTTTAGACCGGTCGACCACGAGGTGAAGCCCCAGAATAGTTCCAGAAGATTGACTGGTCTTCTTTCTGGAGTTCTTGCACGAATGCCGATGAAGGCTCCCCCTGTCTGCTAGCATAAAAACGTTCTCCTTTTTTGGTAGTTTAGGTCTTACGCTTTTAGCCTACTGGTTCGGGAAGTTGAATGGGCAGTGGTCATAATTTTCTGTGTGTTCGCGGAGGTCAGTAGCCGAAATTAGTTCCAGGCCGTCGATGACCATATACCGCTGCCCACATTCAAGAGACAAGATGGCCACCATTCGAATTACCGAATGCATGTGTGCAAACAAACGGCGTCCATCTTGTCTCTTGAATGTGGGCCACACATGGAAACCTTCCTTTAATGAGCAATTTTGAAGTTAACAGCCAGGGGTGGTCGGTTGTTAAAATAACCGACTCAGGCCCTGTGGATATGAGAGCAGGGAATCTTACTTCCCTTAATGTAACATATACATGAGCAGTGCTGTCATAGAGGCTATAGAGAATCATTGAATACAATGATTCACTATGGAAGAATCGCAGGCATATCGCAGCAAGCACTGCACATGTGCCTACATTCCTCAATGCTCCTTTATGAGGAGCATTGGAATGGCACGCCTTCAGGATGATGCAACCAGAGGAGGTGGTTGCGGCAGCCGGTCTGATGATGTCACTGCATGGTACTGGGAGTGAAGTAGGGAAGACCATAGAGACCATGTAGAGGTTTTCAAACACTGTCTGACCCAAGGTATATGTGTATATGGCTGAAGGATCCTGTCATATACTAAAGGTAGAATGAGTTTTTTATTTTTCACATATTCTTCATATAACAAAGAATCGATTTCCTTTCAAAACTTGATGAAAGAATTGTTACATCAAAAAGTGTTGAGGGGACAGTTGTGCTTTAATGGAATAGTCCTGGTGAATTTCACAGATTTCCTAAGTGATTCTTAGAACCTTTTGAACTTTGGCACAATTTCCTTTAACATATAAGACCTTCAATTTGAAAAAAACATTTTGCTGCTACGGTGTCTGATAGTATGGAAGTTCTCAGCTCACCTAAGTAACTGGCTAGATTCATAGAACACTACAGCATTGCTGTGGTAATTACAAAGTACTTGCACTACAACACATTACGCTGTACTTAAAGCTTAAAGAAACCACTATAGTCACCTAAATTACTTTAGCTAAATAAAGCAGTTTTAGTGTATAGATCATTCCCCTGCAATTTCACTGCTCAATTCACTGTCATTTAGGAGTTAAATCACTTTGTTTCTGTTTATGCAGCCCTAGCCACACCTCCCCTGGCTATGATTGACAGAGCCTGCATGAAAAAAAAACTGGTTTCACTTTCAAACAGATGTAATTTACCTTAAATAATTGTATCTCAATCTCTAAATTGAACTTTAATCACATACAGGAGGCTCTTGCAGGGTCTAGCAAGCTATTAACATAGCAGGGTGGATTGTCCGGAGGACAATCATCCATATATCCCATAAGCCGGGATTGTTCCGCTGTACGCCTGTTATACCTGAGCTGGCTGTAGCTCATTTAAATGTGAGTAGAATATTTATATCTTTAGCTCACATATATTGACCCTTAGACTCTATACGATTGGTCTCTTATCTTGTGTCTTCCATATCACAAGACCAACTGGACTACTATAAACAGAGAAGAGACCCATTCACCAAAAGCACCTTATAAGACATCTATTGCCACAGTGCAACTTCTAAAATCTTTTTGGACTATTTTCGATATTTTATTTTAAACTTTTATAAGTTTTATTTATATGTCTTTTTACTATTTGTAGTCCACATTGATACATTTTGGCGCAGCCTTGCATTACTGTTGTTGTTGTTTTCCATTCTTACTATAGAGGGTTACCCTCTGCTAGGCCGCTGCCCATCCACCTTTTTATTATTAGCGCTAACCTCCTTTCTTGTTTTTCTTTGTATTATGCACCATTTGTAATGCATGCATATGACAAGGCTGTCACTCAAATAAAGTATTTAAAAAAAATAATAATAAGAATTAAAAACTTATTTTACAGTTAAACAACTTCCAACACAAGCAGCTTGGAAACAGTGTGCGTAATAGTTTAATGATTCCTCTCTCTTACTGATGCTTTAATCAGCAGAAGTTCACATTAAACATTTACAGAATGTGTTAAAAAAATAGCAAAATAATATGTAAGGAAGATACAGGACAAGAAGGTTCACTTTTAAATAGCTTCCTTAAGGCAGTATGTACAGCTGGAACAAGGGCACTGTAGTCTATTATTCTGCATCAAGACGCGGTATTACAGGGAGAATCAGGTTTCCAAATGCAGAGTCTTGGGTTATGAAGTATCCAGATGAATGAGCGTGAGCATGCTGTATGAACAAGAGAAAAATATATATATAAATTATATGTTCTATATCCAAAAAGTATTTTCATATGTTATATGGAATTTTCACTACACCTCATTGACCAAAGATTGTTTTTTTGTTTTTGTTTTTTTATAAAATCATTGATGCAGCCAAAGAAGGACACGCATTTTAGGGAGTTGGGTGGAGGCATGTTCTAGCAAAGGGAGTGCTCTTTTGGAACATATTAGGTAACTTCATGACCTACCGATTTACCATTTATGTACATATAAATTAAATTTACAAGATCTAAGTATGTAATGTTAGAGACTTAGTGTAAACACTGAGTAAGGGGTGTCGATGCTATATAGTTAAGTGTGGGGGTTGGTATAGGGTTAGTGTTATCTCAAGGTTTCGTTTTGCTTAAGAACTTGGACAAATTTATCTCTATCCTTAAGGGTTTAATTTAATTGTTGTGGTCCAGCTCTCTGTTGGATAAGAAATGCAACTCTGTTTATGATAACATCAACACCATAGACATATTTAAAAACTAGACAGATAGGCTATCACGATAAAGCATGAGATTGAGATCTAAATTTTATCAGCAGGTAGCAAGGCCACTTCATAATCTACCATGGTTACTGTACCAATTCTAAAGCTTTTCCCCAAAACTTATTTTCATACCCCACAGACTGACATTCAAGGAATAGTGGCATAATGAGACACACTGAGGAAAGAAACACACACAACACAACAAAGTCATAATGTCTATTATTGTTGTACAAATAGCTTACCTGAAGTGCAGCTTTCTGCTGTGCTGCTATGTGTTGCTGCTCGGCATGGTCACGGATATCTTTGTTTACATTAGGCCTTGAAAGTGCGATGCTAAAGACATAAATAGACACAAATATTATAAGGTTTAACTTTTAAATTAGAATGTTCCCGTGTTAGATTTGATTCATGGCCTCACTGTGTTAAAAAAAAAAAAAAAAGGACACTATAGACACCCAGACCATCTTATTGAAGTGGTCTGGGTTCAGTATCGCGGCCCCTTAACCCTGCAAGGTTTACAATGCAGGGTTAAGACTGCCTCTAGTGACAGCCACTAGGACCACTTCCTCGATTCACACAGTTTAATTTTGTGAAACAACTCTGGAGGTCTTCACGCTTTGCATTAGGACGTCCAGCGTCTTGAAAATTTCAATAGAAAGCATTGATTCAAAGTTTTCGTATAGAGAAAAATTAATTTGCCCGCAGCACTTGTGCATTAGATTCTCCCATTGCTGTGATGTCGCAGGAGAAGGAGAGGTATCCAGGCTGGAATCAGGCAAGTGAAAGAAAGGGTGTTAGGATTACAGTGTTCCTTTAAGATATAATTGTTAGAGTGTCCCTATAAATATATCCAGGCTGATGTCCAATATATTCTCTACATACTTCTCCCCTAGATAAGCAAAGGTAAGTTAAAATTATTCACTACCTATAGCAAACAGTGGTAGCGAAAGCACTATAGCTTAAAAGGACCACTATAGTCATCCAGACCACTTCAGCTCAATGAAGTGGTCTGGGTGCCAGGTCCTCCAGGTTTTAACCCTTCAGATGTAAACATTGCAGTTTCAGGGTTTACATTGCAGGGTTAATCCAGCCTTTAGTGGCTGTCTTCCTGAAAATCGCATTGAGCGCACAGAGCGTCCATAGGAAAGCATTGAGAAATACTTTCCTATGGGCATTTTTAATGTGCTTGTGGCTGTGGCCGGGCATGCACATTCGGCTCCACTCGGGAGCTGATGTCGGAGGGGGATGAGAGGTCACCAGCGTCGAGGGAGCCTGGCGCTGGATAAAAGTATGTGGCTGAAGGGGTTTTAACGGGATGGGGGCCCTGAGGAATATATATATATATATATATATATATATATATATATATATATATATACCGTATATACTAGAGTATAAGCCGAGTTTTTCAGCACATTTTTTGTGCTGAAAAACCCCAACTCGGCTTATACTCGAGTCACTGTCTGTATTATGGCAATTTACATTGCCATAATACAGACTGGGGGCTGGCAGCGAGCGCTTACCTCTCCTGCAGCTCCTGTCAGCTCTCTCCTCCTCCGCGCCGGTCCGGTCAGCACCTCGGTCAGCTCCCAGTGTAAGTCTCGCGAGAGCCGCGGGGTCATAGTGCGGCTCTCGCGAGACTTACAGTGTGAGCTGAGAGAAGAGCTGCATGGACCGGCGCGGAGGAGGAGAGAGCTGACAGGAGCTGCAGGAGAGGTAAGTAACAGCTCTGCCAGCCCCCCTCCTCCCCCCCCACTGAACTGCCAATGGACCACCAGGGAAGGAGAGCCCCCCTCCCTGCCATGTATCAAGCATGGAGGGGGGACGAAAAATAAATAGATTAATAATATATAAATAATAATAAAAAAATAATTAAAAAAATATATAACAAAAAAAATTAAAATAATATCAATTAATATATAAATATAAATAATAATAAAAAAATAATTTAAAAAAATATAACCAAAATTTTTTTTTTTTTTTATAAAAATGCCCACCCCCCACCAAGGCTCTGCAACACAAACACACACTGCACTCATATACACACACACTGCATTCATCATATTCAATTAATATAATTTTTTTAGGATCTAATTTTATTTAGAAATTTACCAGTAGCTGCTGCATTTCCCACCCTAGTCTTATACTCAAGTCAATAAGTTTTCCCAGTTTTTTGGGGTAAAATTAGGGGCCTCGGCTTATATTCGGGTCGGCTTATACTCGAGTATGTATATATATATCTGAATGACATACAACATTTTAAGTTTCAAATAAACAATCAAAATAAGCAAACATATTGCAATTCACAGAAAACAGCATTTTTATACCTTGTGTGTCCTACTTAAAGGGACTCTCCAGTGCCAGGAAAACAAACCGTCTCCCTCCCACCTCAAGTTGCTGAGACGGTTAAAACTCCTTCAGTGACTTACCTGTATCCAGCGCCGATGTCCCTCGGCGCTGGGTCAGGGTCCGCCCACGTCATCCGGGGGGGTGGGGGGAGACCTATTAAGCATGCATGCCCGCCGGCGACGGAGACCTAATGCGCAAGCGCGGCAATGCCACGCACACGCATTAGACCTCCCCATAGGAAAGCATTGAAAAATGCTTTCAATGCTTTCCTATGGTGATTTCAGCGACGCTGGAAGTCCTCACATAGCGTGAGGACGTCCAGCGACGCTATAGCACACTTTTCATGTGCTATAAACACAGACGTGCCCTCTAGTGGTTGTCTAGAGAATTACTGCACAATTCTCTGTCATTTAGGAGTTAAATCACTTTTATTTCGGTTTATGCAGCCCTAGCCACACTACCCCTGGCTGTGACTGACACAGACTGCAGGAAAAAAAATGGTTTCAGTTTCAATCAGATTTTAGCTTACTTAAAATATTTTTATCTCGGGGGGCGGGGCCTGACCGCCATGCAGAACAGCCGCATGAAACAACAGCTCCTGCAATCAGGCGAAATTTAAAAAAGTCAAAGCTGAACTGGTACCCTCCTGATGACCAGAGAACGCAGTCCGATACACGAAGGGGCACTGGACCTGGGGAGAGGCTTGCACTCCGTGTTTTAGTCCCTCAGAATGACTCATGTTGTACGCACAAGAGGAGGCCTACTTAGGCGGTGAGCGGGGTAGACGGCTGCTGCCCCGCTCGACTGAATCACTCCCGCCCGACTGAATCACACCAGCCCCCTCAAGGTTGTGGAGCAGGTCCCGTCTCACCCCCTAAGGCTGGAGGGGGTTATACCGGCCCAAGCCCCGAGACCCCTTGCAACAGCGGTGAACCTGCGGCAAAGAAATATCAAACTCCCCACAGAGCCCTGAAGGAGACTGACAGCGTGGCTGGATCAGATAGGGCTCTGAGCTGTGCCCACTCAATACCCACCAGAAGTCGGGACCCACAAGCGGTGACCAAAGGGAGACATCGGCAAACGAGGCTCAGAGGTAGCCCACACCGCTCCCCATCAAAGAACTTACCTTCGGGCCGGCCCGACAAGAGGCGACACTCTATAGAAGGACTCCAGCCAGATACACCTTCACAAGGTCACGGCACCCGACAACAGCATGTCCACAAGGGGGCAACAGCTCATACGAACTCTCTGCCGTGCAGTCGGAATCCCCGAGCAAAGCAACCTACAGCTGGAGAAGGACACGAACGGCAGGTCCCTGGGATATCTGCCACCACGCTGTAACATTTAACATCGTACAGAGTCCTAACCTTTACTCTGGGCTCTCTCCTTTTGATTTATGATTATTGATAACTGCTGTCTGTAATACTCGCATGCTCTCCATCATGAACTATGGATCAGCCTGGGGGGCGGATTTCGTCTGCATACTCAGCTTTAGTGATTTAACTCCTAAATGGCAGGGAATTTAGCAGTAAGACTGCAGGGGTTTGATCTATACACCAAACCTGCTTCATTAAGCTCAAGTTGTTTTGGCAAATCTAGTGTCTCCTTATTTAAACCTCAAAGTCATGTACAAAACCAAATACAAAATCAGGAAATAACTAATGTGTCATAGTCTTACATCCATTCTCACACTAAATAGTTTTCATTTATTTTTTAAATTTTACCATTATTGGATTGGTGAAAAATGGCTCTATACTTTAAGTTACATTTTGGTACTCACAATCCTGAGGAAGAGGGGTTATCAACACAATGTGACCATCAATACCTGAGCAATTTCATCACCTGAAAGGACGATATACCAGTCACCTAAAAGCATTATCAGTACATTTTGCTACCTGCAGCCTCCAACTTGTTAAAAACCAAAAAGATGCAATTTTTTGTTAACCTTACAATATCGGTCTACTGAGCTCAACATCACTAGATTGAAGATGAAATTGTGGTTTAGCTTTAGTTTTTAGACGTTAAAGGTATTCTGACTTTGGAGGCACAACCAGCAGAAATTTGGATTGCAATCGCAATCATACTACCCACTGACAGAAAACATTGATCAGTTAAGGACACCCGATAGTAATGTTGCATTAGATAGCTTGATATTAGCATCCAGTCAAAACACCCATATAGACAATTAATAGTATAGTATTATAAAATACAATAATGTGAACATACCTGGCACCTGGGTTGTTGGTTGAAGACTGGTTTTGCATTAAAAGTTTTTTCTTCTCTTTGTCTAATTCTGCTAAAATCGCAACTCTGTTTCTGTTTGGAAAACCTACAGAATTAAGAATTTATACATTTGTTTAATAAATTCCACTTAAAAAAAAAAAAAAAGCATAAAAACTTATACATTTAAAAACAATGAATGCCAGTCATTAAAGTGACACTGTCACCTGTTTTTTTTCTTAAACATTCCTAAACAAGATTTTTAGCAAAAACTAATGGACAGTTCTGGCAGGTGAAGTTACCAGGAGATGAAGAAGCATGGCAGCGGAAAGAAGGAACAAACTGAGGTAACAATAGCTCTCCGACTACTCCCCTTCAAACACCACCATGAAATGTCACCTTAGGAGATTTTGATAAAAATACAAATACCTCACAAGTGACAGTGCTGCATTAAGAAACCAGTAGATCCGCTCATCATGACAGTTATGAGAATTGCAAAACAAAATCAGCCACTGTACAAATAGCAAAAACCCATTAAAAGACTTGATTGATAAAGAACACAAAAGCTTAAAACAACTTCTTCAATAAGCAAAACAATGAGATTTGGTTTAATTTCATTCCCATTACGAAATATATCTGGTTGGTTATGAAAGAGACACTTCTGGCACCAAAACAACTTAATCTAAATTAAGTTGTAATGGTGCAGGGAGGCCTCTACAGGCACTCTTACCTCAAGGGTTTAAACTGTTTCCGAACTATTTAACCCCAAAGTTGCCTCCCACAGCGAAGTCCACTCCCCCCCGGCTACAAAATATTCAGATTCAGGAGGCGCCGCTGATTGGCTGAGGCCAGTCAGCGGACGCGCTCAGCTTATCAGTGACTCCCCATTCACCAAACTGGCTTGGAAAAGGTACGTTTCTTTCCAAGACAGTTTTGTGAATGGGAAGTAACTGACTGGATGAGAGCATCAGCTGACCACTCTCAGCCAATCTACAGCGACCCTGCCCGGCAGGATTCTGCGCTTCCTGAATCTGAAAATTCTGAATCTGGATGCCGTCGGGGGTAGTGGACATAGCCACTGAGGGCAATTTTGTGGTTAAACCATTCGAGAATGGTTTAACCCCTTGAGGTAGAGTGCCTTCAGGGGTTTCCATGCACCGTAACAACTTCATTAAAGCAAAGTTGTTTTGGTGCAGTAGTGTCCCTGTAACTTAAAACCGAATTGCAGTGCACTGAAAACCAAACTGCAAAATTAGATACTCAAACTGTGATACTGCCCCTAGAGTGTCCTTTTAAGTTGGCTGAATAATGAAAAGATTTCATATGAAAAATTAAAAAGATTTAACCTATCAGTTAATTCGTAAAACCACATTAAAAAAACATGGGTTAAGCTGATTTTAAGGAAACCAAAATAGAAACAAGTCATGTCAGAAATGTCCAACATTTTGTTTGCTGAGAAAAAAAATAAATGAAAAACATGGACAGATGAGAGAATGTAATTTCAATTAACTATAATGCACTGGCTCTACAATGCATAATAATATTTCAAGGGTTTCTGAAAGGTTCTTATGTTGCATCACTGGGTACAAGTGCCTTTTTAAATATGCCTGAAAATGTAGGATGTGCTATTTTAAGGAAGCAAAATGGACATGCTTTTGTGAACCAATTCAAAACATTCACTTATACATTATGTACATTTCTCTTTCTTTACATGGATTAGATACAGATAATATGACTGAAAACACTACGTTAATGGATGGAAGAAAAGGACAGTAATGTACTACATATAAAGTAAAAAACACTTCACCTCCTCCTAAGATATTTAGAAGCTGATGTATTTTGTTGACATTTTGCTAAACCTCCTACATCTTCCTTAGAATAAATACTTGGCATTGCCATTTCCAGTCTTAAAGCACCTGTTAAGATCAAGTTGCACCATTTATTACAATAATTCTAAAGATGAGTAGAGTCAAGCTTGAGTGTTGTACGTTAAATATCCATATCAGCTGCAAGTAATAGGGTGAGTGCATTGTGACTGACACCGTTCAATGCTGGTGCGCAGAACCTGAGATCAGTGGAGTTATACTTCAAGTGCTGATTCATTAGATGCCATTTAGATGTTCAGGAGATATTTATAAATATTAGTTGCATGGTTTATTTTATATATCAGCTGGTTAAGCAGTGGTAAGACACCTAAATATCTCCCTGCCTACTTAAATCCTCATACATTGTAAACTAATTTGAGCAGGCCTTCTTCACCTCTCATATACCTTTTTTTTTCATATAATTGTAAAGCACTGTGAAATGTGTTGGTGCTATATAAATAATAATAATGAATATATTTCCAGCACTGACTGCCATAATACAAAATTGACCCATCATGTTTCATCTATACATTGTATGATCTGATTGCTATTTCATGTTTTCCCATGATTTGTAACATCACGTCAAGCAAAGAAAAACCTACATATTGCATGTTATGACAGACACTCTTTAGTTTGTCATCATGTATGTACCAAGATTGATGGGAATCAAACTCATACACAGCAGGCACTATATGATAATGTCAACAATCATTTTCCCTTCATATACTCCTATAAGCATAGTCTCCTCTGAGACGTCATTTGGATCCAAGCTCATGCAAGACCCATAGGTGCTTAGAACGGGCTCTTAAAGGAACACTATAGTCACCTAAATTACTTTAGCTAAATAAAGCAGTTTTAGTGTATAGATCATTCCACTGCAATTTCACTGCTGAATTCACTGTCATTTAGGAGTTAAATCAATTTGTTTCTGTTTATGCAGCCCTAGCCACACCTCCCCTGGATATGATTGACAGAGCCTGCATGAAAACAAAACTGGTTTCACTTTCAAACAGATGTAATTTACCTTAAATAATTGTATCTCGATCTCTAAATTGAACTTTAATCACATACAGGATGCTCTTGCAGGGTCTAGCAAGCTATTAACATAGCAGGGGATAAGAAAATCTTAATTAAACAGAACTTGCAATAAAGAAAGCCTTAATAGGGCTCTCTTTACAGGAAGTGTTTATGGAAGGCTGTGCAAGTCACATGCAGGGAGGTGTGACTAGGGTTCATAAACAAAGGATTTAACTCCTAAATGGCAGAGGATTGAGCAGTGAGGCTGCAGGGGCATGTTCTATACACCAAAACTGCTTCATTAAGCTAAAGTTGTTCAGGTGACTATAGTGTCCCTTCAAAGGGACACTATAGTCACCTGAACAACTTCAGCTTAATGAGGTTGTTCAGGTGAGAACTATAGCTCCATGCAGCCTCTCATGTAAAAACTGTATTTTCTGAGAAAATACAGTGTTTACATTGGAAGCTAGGAACACCTCCAGTTGCAGTCACTCAGACTGCCACCAGAGGGACTTCCGAGTGGATGAATGCATAATTCGCATTCATCTTCATGTTTGACGTCTTCACGCTTGGGTGAAGACATCAAACATGCTATCAGCATACAGGAGATAGGAGGCACATAACATCTCCTGCACACAGCGTCGGCTCGAGCTGACAGGCTGAAGACCAGAGACCAAGCAGGAGGGGAGGATCCAAACTGTAAGTAATCTTATTTTGTGAACGAGTGTGGGTGGGTAACTGATTGTGTGGGTTGGTGACTGTGGGTGAGTGAGTGTTGGATCCATCCATCCATCCCTCTCAGTCAGCTCAGCTCGCAAACGCGCATATGGAGCGCTGAGTTCATTCATACGGCGGCATTCAATGCCGCTCTATGAAGAACGCGATTGGTGCAGCGTGAACCCGCGCATGCGCCACAGATCGCAATGACGCTTCTGTAAGAGAAGCATCTGATTGAGCCCTGCTACTTCGTCATTTGACGAAAAAGTAGGCGCGCCTGACAGGGATCTCGGCGCTGGAACAGAGGTAAGTTTATATCATAAAAAGGACTAGAAAATTATTTTTAATAAGAGGAAGTTCATATAAAAGCAAGGAAGAAGGTTAGGGAACCTGTCTTTCTTGGGTTTTTTTTGTAGACTATAGTGATCCTTTAAAAGTGGCAAACTCAGATTTAGAATTATTTGTTGCTCAGGGTTCTCTTAGTCCAATGAACAATATTTCATTCATATAGTAAATAATAGTAAAGTGTAATATAAAAAAAAAAAACAAAAAAAAAAAACACCATAAGCACAACAGCGTGATGTAGTGGTTATGGTGCCATGAGTGCCCTGGCACCTCACCCTCCTTACCTGTCCTGGGGGACAAATCTTACAGTGCAGGTAATTGGCTGGAACACTCCAAGCTCCTTAACCAATTAACAGTTTGAAAACTTACCTTGGATCAGCAGGCTATGCTAAGCTAAACTCCGCCGTGCAGAGCCAGCTCGTTGGCTAACAGTGTCAACTGACCGCTCCCAGCCAATTAAAGGGACACTATAAGCACCCAGACCACTTCAGCTCATTCAAGTGGTCTGGGTGCAGTGTCCCATGCCCTTTAACCCTGCAACGGGTAATTATTGCAATTTTCATTAAAGGACCACTATAGTGCCAGGAAAACATACTCGTTTTCCTGGCACTATAGTGCCCTGAGGGTGCCCCCACCCTCAGGGACCCCCTCCCGTCCGGCTCTGGAAGGGGGAAAGGGGTTAAAACTTACCTTTTTCCAGCGCTGGGCGAGGAGCTCTCCTCCTCCGATCCTCCTCTTCTCCTCCCTGTCGGCTGAATGCGCACGCGCGGCAAGAGCTGCGCACGCATTCAGCCGGTCACATAGGAAAGCATTCATAATGCTTTCCTATGGACGCTGGCGTGCTCTCACTGTAAAAATCACAGTGAGAAGCACGCAAGCGCCTCTAGTGGCTGTCAATGAGACAGCCTCTAGAGGATTAGGGGGAAGGCTTAACCCATTCATAAACATAGCAGTTTCTCTGAAACTGCTATGTTTATAAAAAAAATGGGTTAACCCTAGAAGGACCTGGCACCCAGACCACTTCATTAAGCTGAAGTGGTCTGGGTGCCTAGAGTGGTCCTTTAAACTGCAATAAGTACCATTGTATGTTAACTCCACCTCTAGTGGCTGTCTACCAATCTTCTGGGTCGTTAGGTGACTTTTGGTTGCCCGATGCTGGACTTCCTCACGCTATGCATGTGGACATCCAGCGTCACCCGAAACCCCATAGAAAAGCACTGTATAATGCTTTCCTATGTGGGAAGTACTAATGCGAGCACGCCCACTGCCGTGTATGCGCATTAGGTCTCCACCGCTGGCTGGGCAGCAGAGACAGAGGGGGTAGCTATAGTGCCACATACTGTTTTGCTGGCACTATAGTTTCCCTTTAAGCCCTGCACCACTGGGCTTAGCACGATTCCAAAGGCTTCCGGCACTCAGAGTAGGCGCTCTAGTGGTTATGGTGCTTGGAGAGTTCATTTGACCTTTACAGCCTGCTTGATCTATGATATAATATGATGGGGCACACAATGTATTTAACTACAGGACGTAGTGAGTTGTGCTGCCACAGACAGCTCTGTGCTTGTCTGTATGATTAGATTGAGACATCTGAAATGTGTCCACAACATCACACGAGTGAGGAAATGCACGTGTTCGTTAACAGGGCTTACATTGAAATTAATATAATACATTTAATCCATGGACATTAATATAATGCATTTAATATAGGGACAGTAATATAATGCATTTTATATAGGGACAGTAATATAATACATTTTATATAGGGACAGTAATATAATACATTTAATATAGGGACAGTAATATAATACATTTAATATAGGGACAGTAATATAATACATTTAATATAGGGACAGTAATATAATGCATTTTATATAGGGACAGTAATATAATACATTTAATATAGGGACAGTAATATAATGCATTTTATATAGGGACAGTAATATAATACATTTAATATAGGGACAGTAATATAATACATTTAATATAGGGACAGTAATATAATACATTTAATATAGGGACAGTAATATAATACATCTTAGTGTTAGTTTGACTGACTGCCAGGACAACATCCATTGTTCTAAATACAAATGAAACAAAACAGAACCCCGAGGAGACTAACCACCATTATACCAGTATTCAAATACGGGTTTACTTTAACAGATCTTCCAAAGCATCCCCCCTGTGTTATTACCCGCAGCCGGTGGTGGTGGTGGTGGTGGAGCCGCCGCCATGTTGCTCCTCCCCCTGAGAGTGGGGAGTGGGTGGGGGGCTGGTCTTCTTGTTACCAGGTTACCGGGACACTGTGCTCCTTATCGATAACCGAGCTTCCATAGCTATTACAGTCAAATTAACACAAGCGACGGTTATCCCAGTCACCATGCATAAACATGCATTGACTGCTTGGTTTTGCTGCCTTTTGTGGGTGTTTTTAATATATTGGTAACTTTGTGTGTGACCTACTCCAACATGGCGCTTCATGCTTCACTATAAGATATCACGTGATTGTAGCCTTGTTTCCACGCATGCTTCCTGAGCTACAGAGGGAAATGCTCCTCTGTTAGGAAGGAGTAACTTTCTTTCAATCCTAAATGAATATCACAAAGTCCATGTGTTATACAGGGTTATTCACTAAAGTAAATTAAAAGTGAAAGTCAAGTTTAAGGCTACTGTAGCCGAAGTGAAAGCATTGCTAAGAGATCATTTTTCCAGTTTGGCTATTTTGGTCTTGCATTTGAAATCCACTTTGAATTCTCACTGCAAATAACCCTGACAGAGGTCTAAACAAGAATGCTGAAACACCAGGTTTTCAATATGTCAATTTCTTTATTATAGACGTCATTAATGTGAAGAAGCCTTCCTATGGAACCATAAACCTTACAGGGTTAGTCTCCATACCAAGAACTGTACATCGAAGGCTATTGTAGCCGATTAGAAAAAACTACTGACTTAAAATGTGACATTCCAATGTCATTTGCTGATTATTCGTTGTTTGGTGAATAATACTGTTGGTCTATTTCTGAAAATACCAGAGAAAGGTCTCCTATAATGAGCAGTCCTATCATGGTATTAAAGGAAGACTCCAAGCACCATAACAACTAAAATGCTGTAATAGTTACCAGGAGTGCATCTACATCCCAGCAATATAATGAGTCAAACGGTTTAGTAACAGTTTGGCATATTACCTGGGATCCTTTTGGTGCCACCTCACAGCTCCTTTTTGACTGAAACTTTCTTCATTTTCATGTTGGAATTGGGGCATGTTTAAAGTAAAACTATGAGCACCATAACCACTGCAGTGTGGTGCAGGGCTAAGCTAACTGGCTAAGAGCAATCAGCAGACACTTTCAGCCAATGAGCTAACCTTGTACTGCAAGATCCTAAGCAGGAGCTTCCAATGAAGAGACAAGATGCGGCAACCAGCAAACCCCGAATAAGATGTCAAACTGTTATTAAATTGCTTGACTCCTCACATTGGTTGGGCAACCAGGGCACTCCTGGTACCATAACAACTGCGGCACACTTTTAATACTGGAGCTTTTCATTCCAGCATACATAGGAAAGTTTCTGCTGATTGCTCTTAGCCAGTTAGCTTAGCCCTGCACCAAACAGTTTATCCTCCATTACCAACATTCAGTGTGCACTCTGGAACGCCCATTCAATCTGTAGTATTATTAAGTCAACAACCAAACACGACCTTGTCATCTCTAAGTCACTCACTTTATTGGCACTCACTGAAACCTGGCTGTCCCCCTCTGATACCGCTACTCCCGCTTCTTTATGTTTCGGTGGACTACAATTCTACCACACTCCCAGACTCAACGGTAAAGGAGGCGGTGTAGGCATCCTTCTCTCCCCTCAATGTACCTTTCAACCTATCCTCCCTGCCCTTTCCTTTACTTCCTTTGAAGTTCACACTGTCTGCCTTTTTAAGCCCACTCCTTTAAGAATTGTCATCATTTATCGCCCCCCCGGTCATCATAGGCTATTCATTGAACACTTTTCTTCCTGGCTGCCCCACTTTCTATCCTCTAGCACTCCCTCCCTCATTCTTGGGGACTTTAACATCCCAATCAACAACAACTGCCCTGATGCCTCCCGTCTGCTCTCTGTAACCTCCTCCTTTGGCCTCACGCAGTTGTCGACTTCAGCAACTCATACAGCAGGAAACACTCTTGACCTCATCTTCACCAATCTCTGTACCACCTCTAATCTCTCCACTTTTCCATTTCTTTTGTCTGACCACCATCTACTAACTTTTGACATCAGCATACCCCGTACTAAAATTTCACCTCCCTCAACTCTCCAATCTTGCAGAAACCTCAACTGCCTTGATCTCCAGCAGTTCTCCACCAAACTCAATACTCTCCTCTTACCCATCTCAAATCTAACTCGGCTACCTCACTCTACAACTCAATTCTCTCCTCTCAACTCGAAATCATGGCACCTCCTACAATTAAACACAGCAAGCGCCCCAACTACAACCCTGGCACACCAAACTGACCCGTTACCTCCAAAAATGTTCTAGAACTGCTGAATGCTGCTGGAGAAAATCTCACTTTGCATCTGACTTCCTCCACTATAAATTTATGCTGCGCTCCTACAGCCTGGCTCTCTCTGGTGCAAAAGTACATTACTTTAATACCCTCATAAGTACACTGTCCCATCAACACAAACACCTATTTCACACTTTTGATGCTCTTCTTCGCCCTGTTAATCCTCCTCCTTCTACCACCTTGTCCGCCACAAACTTTGCATCTCACTTCACTGAGAAGATCTCTACAATTAGAGAAGAGATCACTAATTTCTCTCCTTCCCCTACCATTACATCACCCAACCCCACTCCCTCCACCACTCTACACTCCTTCACACCTGCTACAGCAGAAGAGGTTTCTGCTCTGCTCTGGTCCTCCCGCCTCACTACCTGTTCCCTCGATCCTATTCCTTCATATCTCATCCGCACTATGTCTCTCTTGCTCTTGCCCTCACTAAAATTTTCAATCTCTCCCTTTCCTCTGGCACATTTTCCTCACCCTTCAAACACGCAACTGTAACCCCAATTCTGAAAAAGGTCAGCCTTGACCTCAACTCCCCATCCAGCTACCGCCCTATCTCGCTACTGCCATTTGCCTCCAAGATCCACGAGAGAGTTGTGTACACCAGACTGACTGACTTTCTCGAAACCAACTCTCTGCTTGACCCCCTTCAGTCTGGATTCTGCGCTGGTCATTCTGTCGAAACAGTTGTGACCAAAGTATCAAACGATTTAATTGCTGCTAAATCTCGTGGCCATTACTCTATCCTAATTCTCCTTGATTGTTCTGCTGCCTTTGACACTGTTGATCATCAACATCTTCTTCGCTTTCTCCGTAATTTTGGTCTACGGGATACTGCTCTCTCCTGGTGCTCCTCCTACCTCTCCCAGCGCTCTTTCTGTGTTTCTTTCTCTGACTCTGCCTCTTCCCCCCAACCACTCTCTGTCGGCGTCCCCCAAGGTTCTGTCCTTGGTCCCCTACTGTTCTCTATCTACACTGCCTCCCTTGGTAAACTCATCAGCTCCTTTGGCTTCCATTATCATTTCTATGCGGATGACACGCAAATCTACCTGTCCTCTCCTGATCTCTCTCCGCCCGTCTTGACTCGTGTCTCTGACTGCCTCTCATCGATTTCCAAATGGATGGCTGCTCACTTCCTTAAACTCAACATGTCCAACCTCTCCTTCACTCCTCATGTTCAATCAATCGTCAACTCCTGTCACTTCCATCTCAAAAACATACCACGCATCCGCCCCTATTTAACCCCAGATGCGGCTAAGGTGCTGGCCCATGCTCTTGTTCTCCCTCGCTGAACTACTGCAATACTCTTCTCAGTGGTCTTACGTGTTCCCAGATTGCACCACTGCAATCTATAATGAATGCGGCGGTGAGGCTTATTTTCCTGTCCGCCCGCACCTCTCACGCCTCCCCGCTCTGTCAGTCCCTGCATTGGCTTCCAGCTAGATATAGGGCTCAATTTAAAATTCTGGTGCTTGCTTACAAGTCCCTACATAATGTTGCTCCAACCTACCTATCCTCCCTAATACACAAGTATATCCCATCGAGGCCTCGGCGCTCTGCCAAAGACCTACGTATATCCTCTGTCGGTACTCCCACCTCTAACGCTCACCTCCAAGACTTTTCCAGGGCTGCACCTCTTCTGTGGAACTCTCTGCCCTTCTCCGTAAGATTTTCACCCAGTCTCCACTCATTCAAAAAAGCATTGAAAACTCACTTCTTCAAGAAAGCATATCAATTAAACTGTTAGCAGGTTTTCATCCCCCACCCTCCATGACTCCTCCCCTGCAACTGTCAAAAATTACCTACTCATCCCTCACCTAATACTTTTCTAACAACCTACTTCGTACCCCTACTTTTACCCTTTGTGTCACTATACCCCACTCCATCTAGAATGTAAGCTCATGGAGCAGGGCCCTCCACCCCTCTGTTCCTGTACGTCCAGTTGTCTGGTTACAATTACATGTCTGTTAGTGCACCTATTGTACAGCGCTACAGAGTCTGATGGCGCTATATAAATAATAAAATAATAATAATAATAGGCACCAAAATGGAATGACTTTTTACACCCATGAGCATTACCAGTGATGCAGATTTAATCACAGTGAAACACTGTTCTCCTAATTGCCAACTTACCAATGTCCGCAAGTATGTCAGGTCCCTAGGCAAAGTAATCCTCTAGGAGAGATCCTCAGTTGCCCTAGACTTCCTTCCTTTATTCCTTCTGGAGAATACATAATTTCTTGGCATGATAATGCCAGTCCCTAATTATGGGTGCCCCCTTAAAGAAATGGAGGAGGGTGTGCTTGGAAGGAGAAATCTCTGGTGAGCCTGCTGTGTCAACCCTGTGTTCTTTCTGGATCCAGAGGGTATCATAATGATGAGAGACCATGCATTCCATATTTTGGAGACATGTTCCATGGTGTCAACAAATGCTTGGAGAAGCAATAAACACACCACACAGATGGTTGTGAGTCCAGAATTACTTCTGCATGTTTATTCAAAGTAGGGTGCATTTATACACAATATTGTTGCAGCTTGGCTTGAATGTTAAAAAATAAGGTGGTTAAAAGTAGGTGCATTTATACACAATATTGTTACAGCTTAGCTTGAAGGTTTAAAAATAAATAATGTAGTTAAAGATTGGAAAGTCAAAAGATAAAATTAGTTAATGTGGTTACATATTTCGTAAGATATAAAATTAGTTTACAAAACAGTATGTGGTTACATATTTCATAAGAT